TTTAAAGCTTTTTTAAAAGCATGTATATTATAAACTCTTTACCCACATTTTGCTATTGTTCTTGTACAGCTTTGGGTACAGTATAGTTTCTCATCCTTGGCACTACTGACATTTGGGGAGAGATAATTCTTTGTTGCAGGGGGGCTGCTGGGTGCACTGTAGGATGGGTGCAGCCCACCTGGCTTCTTTGTACTAGATGTCAGTAGCATCCCCTAAGCTGTGACACCAAAAATGTTTCCAGACGTTGCCTATGGGCAGAATCGCCCGTGATTAAGAATCACTTGTACACAGTGTTGTCTTGACTGTGTTCATCGCTGAAACGCAGCACATCTGGTTGCCCTAAATGGGAAACAGAGATCATGGAGAAGGGGCCACCGAGAGTGACCTATGGTACGGAGGGGGGGCTGTTATCTCTGCTACCATTCACCCACCAGGACACAGAAAGGGCTAAGTCTGATTGGTGAAATCTTTTCCCTGGCCTCGCTTTCTTCATCCAAGTAAAAAACCCAGGAGTATATTTGGATCAGCTGGATCTTTGGTTTCCTATGTGAACTTAAGCAGTTCTCTCAAACTCTACAATCCTGTTTCTTTGTAATTAAAATGCAGATGAGACCAAGCTCTGCCTCAAAAGGTTGGTTTGAGACTAAATGTACTAAGAAATGAGAATTATCTGGCAAGTCATCTTGTACTTTTAAAATTGAGTATATTATTACTTTGATAAAATTAATGCATGAATAAAAAATAAAAATCAGTAAATAAAACATGCACACAATATGACCCAGATATAGGAAACTACCTAGCTTGCTTATGTGAAAATATCTAATAATATTTCTCTGTGCGAAGCATCACTTAGATCCTGTGCACTAAGCCATATCTGAATATTCTACATACAAAATACGCGAGGTACTGCATATCAAACGTACCTTTTCAATTTAAAGTTCCTAGAACATTAAGACCAAAAAATGGTAAATTTTTTCAAATTCCCTTTTGAGGAAAATAGTTGTATTAGGAAAACTGTTACTGTAATGTTCTTTAAAATAGAAAAAATTCTAAACTACCTGATGTCCATGAGTGGGGAAAAGTTACAAGACATTCGTAACACATACACGCCGCACACACAGCGTACACAAATTCAAGGGGATATGATAGTGCCATTAAAGATGTGGGGTATAAAATATTAATTATAAAAGGTATACTTTGAGAATTGTAACTATACTACAGGGATTACAAATATACGTTATAAACGCGTATGAGGAAAAGATGGGAAAATGAAGACAGTTGTTTTGTAAGGAAAATAGTGGTAAAGCGGGAGATGTTTTTCACTGCTATTAACTTTGTCTAGTCTACTCTCCTTTGTGAAATTAGAAAAGGGGATAAAACAACAAAAATGAAACTACACTAAAACAAAAAGTAGTGACAATGTATCTGGTACATAAGAGGTTTCTAAATGCCTGCTGTTCTCTTTAATCTTTTCCAAGAAGGAGAAACAGGATGTGTCTAATCACTGAGAAAC